ATCCGTAAATAGAATAATTGAATTCTAGTGAAAACTTAGCAGCTTACCCCTTAGTATAGATGTTAACACGTTGACGTGAAAAAACAAAGTGATTCTACCGCATGGTTCTAGCTCTGTCCGCTAGCACGTTCTAAACGAAAATCACAACTTTCGAGTGATCGAATTAAATATAAAAAGTATTTTATCGTATATCGAACTATATTGTAACTCAAAAATCGTACGAATATTATTAGTGCTAGAAAATTGAGAATATCTCTTGACAGAATGTTTGCATGATTATTCAAAAGGTAAATTGACGACTTATGAAGTAAAAGCAAGTTTCTAGGTAATTAAGTTGCGAATAGCTATAGAAATTGGTGATTACCGAGTTTGAAGAGGTTATAAAAATGATTACGACATTCACAAGAAATGATAGTGCGAGTTATGATCGAGTCACTACAGACTTGCCAGGATCAGACGAGCGATCTTCAACCTTAATTAGTCTACGCTGCAAATCGGGAGCGATACTTTTTATGAAACTGCACAGAAAATAGAAGGCAATTCTAGGGTAGACTCGCGTGTTCAAGACTGGATCTGCAAGAGAGTTAGGAAAGGATGGAATACACGGCAATTGGAGGAAAGAATGTACGGAAATTAAAGTAGTTGATGAATGGTAATTGAAGAGTGCAATGAACAGCAATGAAAAGCGGCTCCTCAAGTTAGATAAATTAAGATGGGAGCAGAGAACTGAAAATATTATTTATTTAACAATAGAAGCAGCATGCGATTACACGGCTATTGCGACAGTGGCGCTTCGGTAATAATTGCAATATTTGGGTTGAATTTACAAGAAGAACAAAATTGGGGCAAAGTTCAGTGGCGGCGAAGAAGGATTTCACCGCCGCGGTCAACAAGCGAAGCCGTCGAGCGATGTGGGCATACAAACGAGCCTTGATTTAATGTAAAATAAAACAAACTCTTTTTAAACTTTTTTCTTAAACAAACAAACTGTGGCCCAGTGGTAGTGGCAGGGTGGCCCAGTGGTTAAAGTTCAGAGTACCAAGATTGGCGCAGAGAGGCGCGGGTTCGATCCCAGCTCTGTGCGCCAGTTTCTGGTCAGAATCGGCGAGGAGGCCGAGCGGTTAAGCACACACTGAGAGAAATTTTTGCCTCCAAAAGCGAGTCATCCACAGAAGTGGGTCATAGTGACCCACTTGCTCCACTTCCCGCAGCATAAGCCGCAGCTAAACGAAACATGGGTCAGCGGATCATCGATATGACTCAGTTCGCCAAGTGCCTTCCTTGAACGCGGTTCATATATACGCTCATTGACTCCACTGATATTGCCTTATATTTCGTGATGGTGTTAACATAATTCGTGTGTAAACAGAGAATTAGTGCATTGGCTATAAGTAGAAAGAAAAATATTGACCGATGTCAATAAATATAGGTAAATATTTACAGGCAGTGAGAGTTCCCGACTTCCCGCCCTAGTACATACCGTTTGGCGTCTGCTAGTCATACCGCTAGTTCCTAGATCACAAAAATATGTACAGCCGCTAGTGTGTATATGATCGTTCTATTTGTGTTAAAAACAACTTAATTTTTACAGTATCATTATTTTGCAACGTAATAAACATATAGAGTTTATTTTCGACTCCGAATGAAAGTAGTTGGACGATAATATTTGGTAAGTGGCAACTCTAGTCACGCCACAGCGAGTTGCCATAAACCTCTTACCAAAAACAGTTACAAGAACTGAGTCGTTGACGTATTGCTGTCTGGAGAATTAGTCAGTAATAAACTTGTTTTTATTCACTTTGTAGTTTGGAGTGATATTATTTAATAAAATTTAAGGTACAAGAGGTATTGATGAATGAAAATTTGACGTAATTTATGTAGATACCATGATTAGTGAACCTGTTCATAAATTATTCGTCAAGACGTCCACGATGGTTCAAGTAGGCTACTTACATCTTTCTGTATTCAAAATCAGTCTATCTTTGTTCATTGCTCAATCCAAAAATATCTGAACTACAGATAGAATGTCTAGTTTCTGCTATTTCGATTCAATAATAGGTATAAGTTTACTGTTTATTTATTTACTCACGCTCTTAAGAAGCTACCCTGTTAATTAGGTAATAGGAATTTGACTTGAGTAGTACTCAGTACTGGTATATCATAAGAACTTATTAAGTATTAGCCTAATTAGGGGATAAGATCATGAGAGGGTTAAAATCTCAACAAAAACGTCTAATAATATATGGTAATACCATCTAATAATTTTGCTAGGAAATTTAATATCTTTTTAAAATTTACTATACAATGTTTTGAATTCGTTTCAGGAATTTGAATTACTTGTTACTTTTTAGACATAGTTTATCATCATAGTTTATATGAAGCAGAAGTGCAGAACAACTTTACAGTCTGACTTCTTTATTATGAATTGAACGTTATCCTATAGCTAAGATTGATGTGAAATCAATGAAATCATCTTGCCAATTTGCTAAAATATGTTCATTAAAATTAAAAAAAAGTGGGACAAGAAGAATTAAGAGAGTGTGCACTGTGTTACAATGACTAAGAAGAAAATCATTTTAGTGGCTAAGAAGTGTGAAAAAAAATGTGAGAAAAGAAATGTTGCCTTCAAGGCTTAATTCAACATGCAGATGCAGTGAATCTGAATGTTACAGCAAAATGCATGGTCCAAAATGTGACAGCACTCCTCAGTCCTCACTCCTGTGAAGTGAAGAAAAGAAGAATTACTAACTCCAATGTGCTGTCTTAAAAATAATTCAGGAGTAAGATTATGGGATTGTGACCTATATGCCCCAGTAATTCTATAATCTATGCTACTGCCACATCTGCCAGTATGCCCAACTTAAGATGACTCCACCAGATGCACCAAAGCAAGATAGAAATGTAAGGTAAGCAGTAAATGCCACATTAAGTGTAATTCTAAATCATCTTAAAAATTTGTTAATCCAATCAACAATCATAGCTGCCATTCATGCAATCTGTAGTCTGATCAATATAGTATTAATTCTTTTTCATAGAAGTCACAGAGAATTTCTGATATCATCAAGTATATTTATTACATTCCCATCCATAAGCTTAAATTCAATTTTCATTCCACTTTTTTATATGATCACCCAAGATTCTGAGTCAAGATCAAGTTGTGTTCATAATTATTGTTGTCTGAAAATTTGTGAATAATCTGTAGCAATTTGTTTGCAATTGTGCAAGAATATATTGGAAATTTCCTTCCTGGTTTACCTGTAAAAG